CAATCTAATAAATAATTCCCGCTTACTCGGCGCGAGGCCGACCATTCCCTTCTTTGTGGCACTTTTATTTTCTTCCTTGTCCGGCCCTGTGATTTTATTGGTGTTTCTGTCACTTGGGTCTCACATGGTACTTGGGAACTCCAAATACGAGAGATGCTTTTGATTTCCCTAAGTGTACTCCGAACCGGGTGGAAGTGTATCGACTGTGGTATCTCCTTTTAGCGTCACCGTACCTGACAGCATTTACTGGGCAAACGTACACAGCCGATTGGCGTATATCCAATGTTATCCAATCTTGCCGCCGAACCCAACTGAGTGACGGTAGCGAAGAAGAGAACCCCCCGGTGAGCGATATCGATGTTCATGGCAGCAGCATGTGGTCTCTGCCATAGATTCAACCTCGTCTGTTGTTTGCAAGGTGTCATTCTCTTTGAGCGTATCCAATCGTAGCGGTATGATAAACATCGAACTCGGGCCAGAAGACGCTGTGCTTCTCGAGGAATTGGGGGGGGGGCATGTCAGAGAGGTCTGGGTCGATCGCAGTAAGACCCTCCGTCGTGCTGTGAAGTTGGATAACCATCAATGCGTATGGATGCCACCCTTGAGTCTTTGCAACGGAATCTCTTAACGTTTCTTCCGCCACTCGGCGGACGCTTTCCGGCGCCGTAGGAGTTGTTCAAAATCATACCCTGTCCAGCCAAGACGTGGACTTGCTCCTTTTTGCAGTTGGGAAAACCTCACGTAGTATAGCATGCGATAGTAGCCTAGTAAGGAGTGACGATGGTTAGAGTAGTATCCTTCTCCTTTTTAATGGGTATCCTAGGACATATCACTAGACGATGGCTTATGCCAGTATGGTCACCACGATGGGCCACTCTAGTATGTATAACCTCATCATCCTTCTCCCTACTACCATCTTATAAGGTACATCATCATGTTCGCCGTACCACATCCCTCAATGCTTTACGTGATCTTACTCGACCTACTATTCACGGTCTCCCTACATCTGTAGTACCCAATAGAAGTAACCAGCAACACTGTCGAACATTGTCGATGTAGTGTTGTCGGTCCCAGAGGCAGTCCAAGGCCGTGATGTTAACGCCTTGTATGTATCCCCTCATCATGCTTCTATGGATAGGAGGACACCACTTATGGCAGCCCTCTTGGCTACACCTAGGCATAAGGCTAATGCGTGAGAAGGACGACATACTACTACTCAATGTGATAATAAGGTGATTATAGGATAATGAAAGGGACAATGAGGATACCCCCGATGGAGGTTGATACCCTCTATGGGTAATATATAGTCTAGTCATTATTGGCAACCTTAACCGTTAAGGTATACCTTCCGTAAGGATGGTGGCCCAGCAGGCCCAGTGGAGGACGACGAGGAGGTTCGTCAAGGCCTGGCCAGGTGGCAAGCAGATGCATGTGACCTTGTTATGAATGTAGAGGATTTGGATGCTGAGAGGAAGGACCGTAATGGGTGCACTACTATGCATCTAGCTGCTGCTGCAGGCAATAGGATGGTAGTAGTAGTAGTCAGTGTGGAGGCCTATTCATCATGATATCAGGTTGTGGATAAGCTTATTGATGGAGCCAATCGATTGGGTGGGGATATACGTATCAGATCCCTTTTAGAGGCTATTGATGGGCATGGACGGACCCCAGCGGACCTTGCTTCTGCATGGGGATGGACTGAGATGTTATTCATGAGGGTATGCACCAACATGATGATGACTATGATGCTAGGTGTGAATATCTAC